ACTTTACATAATTATGCGATCCCATCCATAGGAGACCAGTTGAGAAGATAATACGAGCGAATCGTGATGAGCCGCCTTTTTCTTCCGTTTCGTCTTTGCGCTTTTATATGAAATATCTCTAGAATTGCGCATTTCAGATTTTATTGCGTGACTGATAGATTTGATATGGATATATTTCATGCATATAATATAACTTTTATTTGAATCTTATTATAACTATGGATATATATATGTTTCATGCGTATATAATTTTTATTGTAATTTTATTATAATTGCACTGATACCTGATATATTTACAATCTTAATCTTTAAATATTGATTATGTCACCTCTTATACTCATATAGATTCCAGATTCCAGTAAGCGTAAAGATATTTTAAAAGAAGAATTTGAAGATTTTTCTCCCTACAGAAACAATTGCAATTTTTTCGATATTTTGATTTATATATAGCTGACACCATGACATTGATATAGATTATAAATATTAATACGAGATGATACAGAATGATTTACAGTGATTAATCGCGATGTGGTCATTCGAGACCGGCGATTCGCGGCTTATAAAATGTACTCGGCGCAGCGTTGGATATTTGCTAAACAAACGATTTGCATAATCAGTTGTTTTGGTGAAACGATATGACGACACGTCGGGAACATCCGCGTTTTGATACAAGCGAGATGCTCCAGGCGTGCGAATGCGCATGAGTTTTATTAATTTTTTTTTTCCTTATTCGCAGCGATTGGCCGGCTGGTTTTATTCTTGCGAAAGTGATAAAGGCGAGCGCGAAGGACAACTCTCTCGACTTTCGCAGCGTAGTTACATAATTATCTATAGCTATGAATACCGACGTACGTTATCCGTGAAGATTAAACGGAATAGTCATGCCAGAGGCCGAGGAGTATGACTTTGCCGATGTTCGGCTCCGGCTCTCGAGGCGGTATTCAAACGTGCAGGACGTTTCTATTCTCGTAGCGTCGTCGGATCGAAAGGTTTTCATTGTACGAATCGTACACGAGACATTACTTGCCGCACTATACTTTTACGCAAGATAACTGACATTAACGAGGGAGTCGCTATTTGTCGATTTTATTTTATTTTATTTTTAACTTCTAGAGCGACGTGGATGACAATGAAATGCTTGTACCGAGCTTTTATTCATTTTTAGCGGTAATCTTGTGAAGAAAACGAATATATATACGAATTAGTAAATATTAAAAATATTTGACTCTTTAGCGGGATATTTAACTACTATTATATCACGTATTTAGACGTTAGTAAGTCTTACTTAATTATCTTTACCTCTAATTATTTAATTTAGTATCATATTTTGTGATTGCAAGGAACTTTCATAACCGATTGTTGAACTATGTGCGACTAATCCACTGGCATCCTCCATCTATACAGTCGTTTCGCGGCACGCAATTCACCGTCAAAATCCCCATGTTGTTTCTTCATTAGCATTGCAATTATGCCCACTTTCCAAAGTTTGTAATGGCGATATGCGCACGCGAGCACTATCAACATTTTCCAAGTTTTCTAGGCTTTCTTACAGTTACGCGTTCTTCACAAGCAATTTTGTAATACAATTTCCTTACATTTCCATACCTACTTATTAAATTTTATATAGTAACTTTGCGCTACATTGATAAACACTGAGAAAAAAATTTTTAGATCCAAGAAAATATTTCTTTGAATAGTCCTAATAACATATTTACTTAATATAGAATTATATATCTAGAATTATTTAGAATTATTACTTATTTAGAATTATATATCTTTACTTAAATTATGTAAAAATATCTAATTCTAAATAATTATTAGGACTATTCAAAGAAATATTTTCTTGGATCTAAAAAATTTTTTTCTCAGTGAAGAAATATTAGTCTACTTTTTTAAACGGTCGCACAATCGCGTTTAAAAAACAGATGTAATATCGAAACTTATCAATAAACGTTATTGTATGTAGTTCAATTTAAATGTAATTATAGATCGTTTAAAGTGGGTTTTAGTCGTAATTAAACCGACAATTGTATCCTCGCGATAGTCATCGTCGAAGTAACACGCGAGTTCGCACATCTTGAAGCCTATTGTTGTGAATTTAGGGCGCGCAGTCGTTAATACAGAAGCGATCGTATCAGCCTCTATTATATGTGCTCTTATCGCATATGCAAATTCATGCAACTTCGCAAATGTGTACCAACAAGAATGAAATCTGTAACAAAGGCACGCGTTATATTGACCTACTTCCATAAGAATGGTTTCCTTCTCGTTTCGAGCGATTAAATGCTTTTTCGAAGTTTCCCGAGGAGACTTTCTTCTCGGTTTGTAGATCGACAATTATAACTGTTATTATCACAAGATCCATTGTCGTGGAAAACGCGAGACACGTGCTGAATCGCACGTGCACTTTACTAATGTAGGATAATCGAAAAAGGAGCATTCTATCGGGATCTACATATATCACGGAGAGAATTTTTTGTTATATTTTATCCTTAAAGTCACTACAAACTTGGGACAACTTGGCAACCAAGGAATTTTTAAAATACACAAAAGACATTTTACAAACAACGTGGTAAAAATTACCAAGCAGATTGGTAAATTTTGAAAAATTATTGAAATTTTCTAGATATATTTTAGTAAAATTAATCAAACATATTTTATATTTGAATGTAATAGATATTAATATTTTTTATTATGGTAGATATTAATCAGAATAGCTCGCATAAAATTCTTGGTGGTACATGTTCCACAACTACCATGATTTCAGGGTAAATTTTAAGAGAAAATTCTCTCCGCGTACATATTATAAAATACAACATATACCATAAAAGTGATTTATTTCGATGTGTGTAGTGCAAAGGAAAGAATTCACGCGTTTTCGGACAGTACGGCTGTCGGTAGCGAGGAAATAGCGCGAGTAGAAAAATCGCTCGGTCTCTCGATGAGTTAAGAATACGGAGGTCCAACCGTATCCTCGTGACTCATTCATAACGCGCGTATGTTACAGGACCGCCTCGCCTATGCTCGCGCCGAGACGCGTTGTCTCAAAGGGAAATTGCCGCTGGCGGATGCGTGGAATCAAATAGGACATCGCGCGCGGGGCATTCTCCGCGTCGTCGTCGTCGTCAGGAGCATACCGACGACGCGGACATACGCGCGTGGTTATTAATAGCCGCCGCTTAATTCGATGGTTAACTTCGATGGGGAAAGATATGATCCGTCTCGCACAAGTCACGATCGGTAACGGAACCGGTTCGCGGTCTTTTGTGTGACTCGTACTAGGCGTTATGCGCGGCGAGGAAGTGAAAGCAACGCTCGCGGGACAATACGCGGCCGTGGACTGTCCTGTCGCAATGTCGAATGTCGAGCTCGATTGAGCACCGACGAACGATACCGGCGACAAAAAAAAAGACCACTTTGACTTGCGTAATCCTCTTAGATCCTCCTTTGATTTATTCAACTCATTAGCGCGTAGGCTGCTTTTGAAAGAGAATCGTATTTTCTTTGCGATCACCGCAAGAAAGATACCGATACATGATATCGTATCATAAACTCATGTTAGATCGCGCGAACAATTAAAGTTATATTTATAGAATGTAATTTACGCTTATAAAAGCGTAATTCAAGTATTTCACCTTGAAGTGAGAATACGATATAACGGTATTAAATCTCATATTCTTCAACGCAGATTAGAAAAAATGTTACACTGTTCAACAAAAAAGCTGCACAAGAATGAGAATAATCGTCTTCCGTAATTTTTTGGACGCTGAATATGGTTCCCTTTACAAAATTGCTCTATCTTATCATGATTTTGAGAAATTTGCAGTTAAAGTTGCAAAAAGAGCTATTTTAGTGTATCTTGGCATTATATTAGAACTATGTGACGTGTTGGAAAAGTTTTATTGTAATCAAAATTAAGTATGCTGTTAGGACTTTTAATCTTTAAAAGGAATTTTTTGTGTCGATTATGGTTAAATTAAAAATAGTCGAATTTTTACTTTTAATATCTATTTTAATGATAAATTCCTGACAATAAAATGAGGATCCTAAGATGAAAAAATGTCGAGATAATATTTTTTTAAACGAGAAGCATTTACAATAGACAGTTCGAAGCGATAGTCAACTGTAAATTAGAAAGTTGTTAGCGGAGAATATAGCGTGATAACGTTCGAAGCGGCAATTGCACAGCAGTCTACGATTGTCGTGATGACTTAACGCTATCTGAAATAACTTCTATTAAAGGAGTCGTTGAATCCTCTCGATAAAAAAATGTCACGAATGATCGTGCTCGAAAAAGTAACACGACGGTCACTTGATCGATTTAGAAATGTTAATGGACCGACAAGGAGTATGTCACTGGATTTGCGCGACGTAAAAAATTGATTATTAATATCCGAAACGTGTTCCAGATGGCAAAGAAATCAAACGTACGCGAGTTAGAATATTTGTGAGACAGCCCGCCGATATATCTTGATAAGAGCTACCGTTTTGCGTGTCGGTTTCCAGTTTCCAGTTTCATCAAGCACGTCGATCGTTACTCGACGACTGGCTCTTAGGATACTAATTAATTTTAATACTGGTTTTGGAGAGAGATAAATGGCCGACTTTTCCGTTCAAGAATTTTGTTCCGGTCTGCTGAATAGCACATATTTGATAGCTGGGCAATACAATCTTAGTCTTCTTTAATAATTATACAAGCCAAATAATTTGAGCAATTTTAATAATAATTACTTAATTTTGCTCGTGAATGAAGTCGAAACGATCGAGATGTTTAAGTGGCGTTTCTATGTGAACAAATATGATATAAAACGATATATAATTAAGATGATAAATGTAATATATTAAATTGACAAATGTAATATTAAATTCCGATCTCGAGATAAACGAATGCTGCGTGAACTTTGTTATTTAAATGATTTCAAATGCGTGTCAACAATATTCTACAGTCATCGTATGACAAGAGATTGTATCTCTGATCCCTGATTGAAATTCTTTTCCAGAGGGTAAGGTCGAGGTGTCGAGGGACGACAAATATCTCAGCACTTTGCAACACGGTAAGGTGCTGGGTGAGCTCGCGATTCTTTACAATTGCAAGAGGACAGCGACGATCACTGCTGCGACTGATTGCCAATTATGGGCCATCGACCGGCAATGCTTCCAAACCATTATGATGAGGACCGGCCTCTCGAGGCAGGCCGAATACACGGACTTCTTAAAGAGGTAAACCAGCATGCTTTTTTATTATCCTGACGGACTTCGACCTAATGCCGTCAAGTGCTGCCCCGAGTAAATGGATGTTTTCTTATTCCGATGAACTTTGACCTGATCATTGTTGTATTTGATAAAATTGTTTAAATTTTCCAAAAATTATGTCATTATTTTAGTATATCCTTTCATGTTTTGAGAGTTGAATATTCTTTAAATAAAAATTTTAAACTACATTTATATAAAAGTTATATTCTTTTGCACACGTTTCCGATGAGAAAGATAACTTTCGAAAAATAGTAATAACTTTAATGCGACAGACAGTAAAATACGATATCATCCAACGTTTACTTAACGATTCAGTTTACAGCCAAACTATCGCAAATGATTAATAAGGCGCCACTAAGAGATAAATTCATATAAATTTACATATTTTTTGTGCATTTAAGTCAAATAATGTGATGTACCAATATTTCATTATCCAGATTATTATTATTATTATTATTTTAAATAATATCTACGATTGGGAGTTATAATATTTTTTGTCAAGAGAAATGATAGCTTTGTGTGTAACCTATTATGAGAGAATATCTTCTAATAAAAATTTGTAATTGAAACAGTTTGACGTTGTATACTTTCAAAATTGACGCATGATTTTACGTTTCAGCGTGCCAATTTTCAAAAACCTGCCTGAGGAAACTCTAATCAAAATTTCAGACGTTTTAGAGGAGGTACGAGTTGATTCTCTTAGCAAAACATATTTTTTGCTATATCTGGATTATATAATTGTAATTTATTTCATATTCACAGACGTTTTACAACAATGGGGATTATATAATAAGACAAGGAGCCAGGGGGGACACATTCTTCATCATCAGTAGGGGACAAGTACGCGTAACAATAAAGCAGCCTGATACAACGGAGGAAAAGTATATTAGAACTTTAAGAAAGGGCGACTTCTTCGGCGAAAAGGCTTTACAAGGGTGAGCATAATTAATGCTATTATTTTTAACTTTTATGTAATAGTTTTCCTTATTGTGAAAAAATTGAAATCCCATGTCATTTGTACTGTCTTTTGTTGCAGTAAATTTAGCTTGTGTCAAGTTCATACTATTGTTTTTCAATAAAATATTAAAAATTTGCACTCTATAAATTCAGCAAGATTAACACAAATATATGCTAATTTATTTCACTGTTATAGAGATGATCTCAGAACGGCTAATATTATCGCTGATGATCCAGAAGGAGTGAGCTGTTTGGTAATAGACCGCGAAACGTTTAATCAATTAATCTCATCCTTGGACGAAATTCGAACGCGATACAGGGACGAGTTGGTGGAACGTAGGAGGTGACTATATCTTTTGTTAACTATATTAAAATTAGAATCATATAGATAAGTATTAACTGGATTGATATAGATTGAGCTATATAGATTATGTAGTATAGTTATCGTTTATTCATCGAGTTAACAATTACATTGCCGCGGGCCGAAGCGCGTACATCGAGGCTCCGTACGGAACTGCCTGATACTCCGGAATTCGGGGTTCGCCCCTCTGGTTTACGCTGTTACCGATACTCGGCCTCTTAACTTCTATAGGAATACTATACTACAGATTATACTCATTATTATATGTCATAATTATGTTCCACGCTTAGCATTAGGATGGGACAATAAACTGTACATTCCAAGTAAGTTGATTAATAAAAATAAAAATAGATAGATATGTAAAAACAAAAATAGATATATCAGTTTACTGTTAATGTCGATAAAAAATTATCGATATTATCAGTAAATTGAATTAAATAAAAAAGCAGCGAGGAGAATAAACTTATTTGTAATTTGTAAATGTATTTAACTTTTTATAACAGAACTAATTCGTACTGATCAAAAGTATATTCAAATCTTGCGATTTCTTTAGATTAAACGAAGAATTCCGAGATGTACGGTTACAAGACCTTCGGACTATTGCGACTCTCGGCGTGGGTGGTTTCGGAAGAGTTGAATTAGTTCAAATTGCCGGAGACAGCACACGATCCTTCGCTCTGAAGCAAATGAAGAAGGCTCAGATTGTCGAGACGCGACAGCAACAGCACATTATGTCAGAAAAGAGGATCATGAGCGAAGCGGATTGCGATTTTGTAGTCAAACTATTCAAGACTTTTAAAGATCGAAAGTACCTCTACATGCTGATGGAAGCTTGCTTGGGTGGCGAGTTATGGACCGTTCTCAGGGACAAGGGACATTTCGACGATGGTACTACGCGCTTTTATACTGCATGCGTTGTGGAAGCATTCGATTATCTGCACTCCAGAAACATCATCTATAGAGATCTTAAACCGGAAAACTTACTTTTGGATAATCAAGGGTAAGAATACATTCATCTGTGTAATAATAATGTATTATTTCAAAAAAATTAAGGAATTTTTACAGACATATTAAGACATTATATTATTTTCATATTATTATTTTCAATACATCGAAAAACAGATGCTCCGTAGTACTTAGTAGATGGATTTAGATTTCATTGTATTATTTTTTTTTTTAGATATGTTAAACTTGTGGATTTCGGTTTTGCCAAACGGTTGGATAACGGAAGGAAGACGTGGACTTTTTGTGGTACACCAGAATACGTGGCACCGGAAGTCATTCTAAATAAAGGTCATGACATAAGCGCCGATTATTGGTCCCTTGGCGTTCTCATGTTCGAATTACTTACGGGTACGCCTCCTTTTACCGGCGCTGATCCAATGAAGACGTACAACATTATCTTAAAAGGAATCGACGCCATAGAATTTCCCAGATCCATCACGCGTAACGCAATGGCGCTCATCAAAAAGCTTTGCAGGTAAATTATGACTTTTACGTATTAGAATATTTCATATATGTATATTCTTGGGTAAATATTTATAGCATAACAACATGTTTGTTGACTGCAATACGAATGTTAAACATTCAAATTTCTCGAACAATAAACAAATTGCTCTGTGTGCTTTCAGGGATAATCCGGCAGAACGTCTTGGATATCAAAGAGGCGGCATCAGTGAAATACAGAAACACAAGTAAATATATTTCTTAGCATTTTAAGGATATAAAAAAATATCATAACGATTTATTTTTATGAATCCATTACAGATGGTTCGATGGCTTTAATTGGGAAGGTCTGAAAACGAGGACTCTGGAGCCCCCAATACTACCCCGTGTTCAAGGCTCTACAGACACTGCGAATTTCGACGCTTATCCAGCTGATTCCGATCCACCGCCACCCGACGATATTTCCGGTTGGGATAATGACTTTTAACCCAAAAAGTTGAAGGGACTTCTATTTAATATTCGCGTTTTTACTAGCAGGAAATTGTAATAGGACGTAACGATCTCTCGATCATACGAGATAATTGGCGACACCTGCATTTATTTATACTTCTCTCGTACTACGTGATATACAGATTACAGTCGCATGTTATCATATTTTTACATTTTTTGTCATATCTCGCAGTATAATCGTGATTCGAACGAAGGAAACTGCACTGTGATAAAATTTAGAATTTTTATGAATTTCGGATGATATTAGCAAAAATTTAAAAAGAAAGCTTTAGTACTGCGAATCTTGTATTTATGTCGCGTCTAGCGGGCTCTAGAAATATCTTCTCCAGTGTTACACATTGTAATAGGATACGTATGCAAGTGTCAAGTGCCATTATTACCTCGAAGAGGTAAATTCATACATGTCATACTTGTGCTCAGAAACGCGGTCACACGCAAGAAACAGTCAGCTCAAGTCCAAGGGACCTCTTGCCATCCATTTAGCTTGTCAGAATGTGCATGTAGCTCGATCGGTCAGATGTTAAATTTTTTATGGCAAGTTCATTGTTGTTTGATTTACTTTTTAGAGTTTATTGTAATAATTATATTTTAATTAATTATAAATAACATGACTATTGTAAATAATGAATTATAAATATCATATAAATTTTAAATGTGGATTGTATATTATGCAATATACATAAACCAATGCTACCTTTTGAACATAAACAAAGTTTTATTAATAACAACTGTAGGTGTGGCTCCAAGAACCAACCAATTTCGTTTTTTTCAGTGACTTGTATCATTTAGTCACTTTTCTAATAGTAAATAATAAAAAGAAGGAAAGAAATTATATAATTATTTTATTATACTTGCGAAAAGCGTTATCTCATATTATAAATAATATAGCAAAATATTTGAGAATAAGATTCAAATATATGGCGTACTGTATCTTATTATTTGAAAAAATTAACTTGGCTGGTTCTTTCTCTTTTAGCCAGACCTCCAATTGTACCGGATATACATAAACGCGTTTATTGACTTTGTCTATACATATAAAGTTCTCATATTTCGAAGAATGGCGAATGAAAGGTGAAAATACTATGAACAATGTTTTAACACTTTAATAAAATTACGAAAATTTAATATCGTTATTTCTCTAGCACTTAAGTAGTTATGTAACAAATTATTTTTCTTAAAACGTGCGAAAAAGAAAAGCATAAGTGCAATTATATAAAAATTTTTTTCTTTGTTTTTTAGATGAAAAAAAATTTTTTAAGTTTGAAAAGTAATTATTCGCAAAAGAGAAAAAAAACGCTATTTATACTAATAATAATGGAAAAGAAAAGTGTATATGATAATAAAAAAAAGAAGATAAAATGAATGAATAAAATCAGTCAAATGGGAAATAATTAATTTATCTATGGACAAACTATGTAATTCAATTCAAAATTTAATCGCTTCATTGCGTATTATCCGTGCTTTAGACTCGTATCGGTCTCGGATTGAATTTAACAGAGATAAACTTTATTATAACAAATCACGTAGTCACATAATGCTAATTACAACGCTGATCTGTATACGAGACGTTTTAATACAGTCGATTCTCGGACAGTAACCAAAGAAAAAGAAACAAACTTAATCATCAAAATAAACAAATAATGACGTTTTCGGTCATCAGGCGAGTTTATATGCCTAATAATGGTTTTATGAATTTTATACATTTCGCCTTCATGTGTTTTTGAACCACACGCCGATTACTACCCAGTCTTGAAACGTATAGATTGTGCTAAAGCTGAAAATGTAATATGATATAAAATCAATGATCAATTTAATATTATATGATACTAATAAACATCTTATAAGTTTATAAGAAAATTGCGAAAAATATCCTGATCTAAGATTCAAACCCAGACCTTCCTACTAATATAAGTATCAATTGACGACAATATTCATATCAATATTCATTTATTCTGTGTTATACGTATATCAGTCACTATAAGTGTTAATAATCCTCTCATTAGTTAATAACGGGTTCTAATTCAAATAAAAACATTTAAATTAATTTTTTTATAATAATTATAGATTACGTTTACACGTCACTAATTGGGTTTAATAACATCCATCGTTATAACTTTTCTGTCATACGAAAATCTCCCCTGCATTCACGTCAGAACTTTTCAATAATACGTTTAATTTCAAAGATTTGCAAAAATACCATAAAATAACAAACCTGTTATTGATGTTGCAATGACTACTCTTGTAGAATTCTCGGAGATCACCTTTGCAATGATACGTTATCTAATACTCGGACGTGGTTTGGCAGTAAATAAGTAAAAAAATATCACAAAATGCATGGAGTGCTCATAACTATTTAGTTAAATATAATAGACAAGAAATATTTTCTCTCACAAGACAAAAAATAAGTCTTAACATGCTAGATCAATCGATAAACATTACTCCATTTCCACTGAAGGTGATAATAATGAATCAAATAATTTTAATAACTTTACATTTGATTCTGCTTGTCAAGCCGACGACACTTGGTTTTGGTTTAATACTAAATTCGAATGAATGGGAACAAATTAAACAACTTCAATCACGGAACAAGAGATCTAATCACATGTTAAGACCAGTGTGTAATATGAACTAACGCCTACGCATTTTATTTACAATATCGTCTATCATGCGCACACATTTTTGTTAGACGATGTAAACACATCCTCCGAGATAAGACATTTTATCAAGAGCACCAGTAATTGTAAGTTAAACCATGTGATAACGTTTTCAAAAGGTTTGTTGATACAGAACTATCTGTCATTGATGAGCTGTTATATACGTGTCAAAACTCAAGATAGTGGTCAGATTCATTTTTCAGCGTTCTTTAAATAGAAAAAAGCAAAAACGGGCTGGCGAAAAAGCAATTACAAAATGATGTTGAAATTTACAAGAAAGAATGGTGAAAGAAAATTTATGTTTCGGAGACATTGATGTATCAATAATAAAATAGCTTTATTAAATGAACAAGTAATGTTTCGACGTGCGACAATACATATAGAAAAACAATATAACAATTTTGTATAGCAACTTGCCAGCAACTTGTTGGCAACTTATGCTGCGGTCTAAAATCGTCTGATTCAAAACTCGAGCTGTTGCTGTCATGTTGCTGTAATAATTCATAGGATCACACAATGCTGTCATATATTGCTAGCAACGCGAAGTAAATTTGATGCTGTTCTCTTACCGACAAATTGCTGGCAATACATATAGCTAACGTTGCCTGCGTGTTGCTTCAAATATTAAATTACTCGAAATCAATTGAAGCAAATGTACGGCAAGTTGCCAGCATCCATAAGCAATCACAGGTTTGCGCAATTTTGCTCAGACACGCTTTGCTATCTGGGAATTTTCGTTGCCTTTCATAATCTCCTTGTATAATCCTCTCCTTATTCCTCCTTGTTTTGATCTGTAACCTCTGAACAGGCATGGATTTACAATGTTATCAATGTCGTAAGTTACAATGTTATTCGTTTAATTTTTTTTAAATCACACTTCATAACTCTTCATACAAAATATAAACAATTCTATATAAAAACTTTGTTTAATTTATCTATTTTGGCTAAATGCATAGTGCAAGAATAATTAATTTAATTACAATTATCTGAATTACTCACCAATCTTTTCAATTGCACTTCAAAAATCTTCATATGAAATACAATTTATTTCCGGCCAATATCGATGGTCTTTTGTTGAATCCAAAGTCGTATGAGAGTCGGATGACGCAATTAATACTAATCAAGTATTAATTGCGAGGTATAAAGTCGAAAATTTGTGTCTCCGACTTAATTCTCCGAGGCGTAACGTATCGCTGCGTGTCCGAAGCCCGAATGATTGTCGGGCGAATCAATCCTTCCCGCGGGAACCGGGAACGAGGATCTAGACCCGTCGACGGCGTCGACACAAATTTTGCGCCGTATTTACGAGACATCCGAGCTCGAGAAGAAAGAAGAAGATCGACCAATTACCGCGAAGCGTGAAGGACCGTCATGCATTGCGTTCTCCCCCCCGCGGCTACGCGCGGTTGACCAATCAGCCAGTCGCGTTGCTGACGGTGCGGTGCTTAGCGCAGAGCGATTGGTCGTCTCTTGCCGTGTGCAATCGTTCAGGAGGGAAGGCTTATGATGCCCATAGCGCAGTTGCCATTCTTGCCTCGTGTCGCGAATCGTGAATATCGTGATCACAGTCTGCCGGATTCTCAGTTCAGTCTTCTTCAGTCGGCCTAGTTGGCTCGGTCGGGTGTGGTGTCTTTGAAGATTCGTCGTAAGGCAGAATCATCGCAAAGGGAAGATTTGTGCGGGACGGTCGAATGGTCTCAGTATACAGTCAGTAATAAGTACTAAACCGGACAAGCTTGACGAAGAATGTAAGTGAAAAACCGTTCGGTACTGCGTTGGCGTTCTCCTCGCGAACTCGCGCGCGAGGTTAAACGATATAACGATCCACCATGTTCGATGTGAGATTTTTATCGCGGAACAGTAGCCCGGGATCCTCGTCGACGATCTCTCCCGTGAGAACCGGTAATTTCGAGACCTTTCGCGACGAGAGGGGGAGGGGGAATCACCACGGGCGGTTCGATTCGATCTCGCGCGTTCGTTAAATCGTTATCGTCAAAGTCTGTCGACCTTTCTCAAGGGTCTCTGAACTCTTGAGGAGGGAAAATGTCGAGGTACGGACGATGTAGGCATTTATTTGTTTCGGCGATCGTACGCGTTTGTACCCTTTTGGATCGAAGAGATTCGATAGAGTGTGCTTTCGTCCTCTCGCAACGACGCGGAGATGCGCTCGAATCCGCGTGGTCGGTACACCTAGGCGCGGAAAAAAAATCAACTAGTTATACGTTGTTGTGGAATTGAGGACACATTAGGCCTCTGTTCTTTTCAGCCGAACTTCCGCACGGTTCGTCTTTCCTCCTTTTCTTTTCACGTTGGGAGAGAAAAAGAGAAAAGAACCGTGTGTAAGGTGAGCTAAAAAGAATCAGGCTTATTACCAATAGTGTGTACCGATGTTTGAAGCATGGCGGTCTTGAGATTAGAGGGCGATTGGTTCTTCACGCTTGTATACGACCGCGCACGAAGAAATCGATCGATCGAATTTCTAAGAAAAGACACCAATGTCGCGTTTTTCGTATTATTAAGGAAGATTTACCCTAAGAACAAAAAAAAAAACGGAAACGTCGACCGTTACCAACGAAACTTCCAGTTGGTTTCTGGTTTTTTTTTTTAACTCGACGACACGTGGAAACGTGATCTCGTCAATAATAATAAAGTTCACGCGAAATGGATAGAATTGCTTTTTTTTTAACTCGACGACACGTGGGAACGTGTTCTCGTCAATAAAAAACTTCGCGCGGAATGGATAGAACGAAAAGGGAAAAGTTTTAAGTAACAACTACATCTATCGTAATGTTCATCGTAAGCTCGTCGTAAAGCCTAGGCTACACCTATCGTAATGTTCACCGTAAGCTCGTCGTAACGGTCGTAACGCTCGTCGTAATCGCTATCGTAAGCTCATCGTATGAGTTGATTCGGCTTGAACTCTTTACAATTACGACGCTTGTCTGGCGTTACAACATAACCTAACCTGTCAGCTTTCTCGACGTGCAAAGAAAAATGTGTTTATAGATATATTGGCATAGATATACGGTTTACGACAACTTCATTGCTTACGACCACGATCAAAGCGTTACGATAGATGTAGCCTTAGCTTAAAGGCTATTCTACAATTGCGTAAACGTGGTCGTAAGTAGTTGTAAGAGTGTTGTACGGCGTGGTTGTAAAGCGGTACTGCGGTTGTAAAGCGTGTTGTGGAAGATGGTTGAACTTCATCTTTCACGACTACGCCAGATGTGAACGTAAGAGCCAACCGATCAGAGTGCACTCGAAATACACACTGTACTCTGATTGGTTGCTTTAATCAAGTTTACAATGTATCGTTACTCTATTGTAGATTGATCTGTTGTACAAGATTCACGACTACTACTACTCCTACTCCTACAACCCTACTTTTACGTAATTGTAGAATAGCCTTTACGTGAAATTACATGATCGATCCCCAAGGAATGAATTTGCTTATTTTCCACGCCGTGAAAAAAGTTAAATTATACTAATTTTAAAAGTCATTACTTTTGTAAAGGAAAAGAAGTAAAAAAGTAAAGTAAAAAAAAGAATATATATTTGGTGCATTTTTCCTTTTACATTTTTTGTGTTTTTAAGGCCCGGTTTTTTATACTTTGGTTAACTTGTAGTTTAGGCTTAACCTAAAGTTTAAAATAAAAATTGCGTTTTTCAATTCATCCCCAGATAGCTAAGCGTGATAGAGCATATTGAGCAAACTAATGCATTGCATGTGTTTTCATATATTTGCTGACATCGAAATAGAATACGTTACAAATACAGCTACATGACTACCTTATACATGCAATCAGTTGACGCAATTTTAAGAGCAAACGGTCCGCAATATTGGTACGTTATGTTATCTGCAACATGTCGTGCTATCACAAATCCCTAACAAATTGATGCTGTCACGTTACAATCAATTTGCTGTTAATAGAAATGTAATTCATATGAGTTCAACCCGACAAGCATAATGCTGTCTTATCTTGTCTCGAGTTTGTCAAAATTAGTTGCATTAATTTGTTGGCAACATGGCAACAAACTCACAGCATTTGGCTATCTGAGTGGTTGATCACTAAACTAATAGTTTCGTAGTGCTAACGTTTTACTATCAGAAAAAATTTACTGGTTTTACGTTTACTATAGAAGATCATAACTCATCTTTATAGCTCTTTTATGCTGAAGTAAACAGAATTTGAGTTTTGTGCATGTTATTAATCAACATGGATTTCGATAATTTTGATGTAAACGTTTACAGCAGTGATGAAGAATTTAAGAAAACATAAAGTATTTCGACGTAGATCGAATTATTTTGATGAGTTGGATGATCTCGATTTCTTTTCTAAATTTCGACCATCAAAGCCGACAGTCGAAAGACAGAACAATGTATATAAATTAATAATAATATTATTAATATTTTCTTGCTAATCATAATAGCTAATCCGATGACTGATATTTCAAGATAAATAGACTTGTTAACGGTATAATTCTCTACAGCAAATGGATATCAATACATCCGTTATCTATTACTTACATTTTCGTGGTCAAACTTTTTTTCATGCTCTCGTAGTAACTATCGTTGACTTATGTGTAACAAATTCTCTGTTACTTATTTATGCTATTCAATTTATATTCTTTTGTATCGTCTCGATTTCTGTTTTTTTTTTTAAACTTTAAAACTAAAACTTTTATCTTCAACATTATCCCTTAAATGCCACCCGGGGTCCAGTGGACCCCAGACCCTTTAGAATGATATATTTTCAAATGTTCCCCCCAAAAATGGAGCTCATGTTCCCATTGATGATAGTTGAGTGATGACCTATCCGGTTGTACACTTAGCAGTACTCAGTTTACTTAATTTTTTATACTATGTTGAAATTGAAATTTTAACAATATAAGCATTTTATTCTCTTTTCTAAGCCTTGAACAACATTGAACATAATTTTCATAACTAAATATCAAAAAATCAATGAGTAAGGAGACATTTTTCATGCTGGGGTCTTTTAGACCCCATGTGTCATTTACGAGATTCTTGAGAGGTGTTGCATTTAAGGGTTATTCTTGATTTATTGTATTTATCTATAGTAAATGTGTGAACTATGGACATCTATACATCTATATTACGTGAACTATAGTTTTTTTCTAAGTTGTAATACATCAAAAATTTTTTCATGGATAAAGGTTTACTGAAGGTCGATTGCCTCTCGGCAGGCGGACGCCAGGTCACTTTTGACTCAGAGTAAAGTTTCTCTTGTTATAAATCAAATTTTTATATTAGAATGTTATTTAGGCTGCGGCCCACTTAACACTACAAATACTTTGAAGCATTCCTCTTCTCTTTTCTTTTAGTGAAAAAAGAAGGAGAAGAAGAACGTTTCAAAGCATTTTTAGTGTCAAATGGACTGCAGCCTTACATTGATTTTTGTTTAGGGCTCAAGTTACAAGAGTCCTTGAGCCGCACAGCCTGAAGCAAAACAAAATCAAGGCATGATTCACGAGCGATCCGGCGTCCGCTTTCCGAGGGTTAACTGACAACAAACATTACATTGGGTTTGTTTCATATTACCGAATTGGCTGCACTAGTTCAGAGTTTATCTTTTTTATCTCCACATTGGAAGGCAAAAAATAAACTCTGAACTAGTGTAGCCAGTTTAGGAATAGAAAACGGACCCATTGAAAGACGCAATAACAGTTAATCTGAAAGTTAATCTTCAAGTAACCTGCCTGGATAAATTTACCTTCAAATCGGGTCTAAGCGGTTCTGCTTTTTCGCTCCTGCGATAAATTATAAATCTTAATTTCTTAAATACGCCTTACTTGATTTTCTCAGGACGGTGTATTTTATATTTAAGATCACCTTAAGTATCTTAGTTGGTCTTAAGATTCCATCCAGCCAATGAAACAATCGCATAGCATTTCGAGATCGTATTTAAGATGATCTTAAGAACTATCGGCTCTTACTTTTGCACTTTAGTAATTATGTAAAAAAAGATAATCTAAATGAATGAAGTTTCTGAAAATTATGCCGCATTCTTCCCATATTATATTCAACTTTCAATATTTTTAATTTGGAAAGAATGCATTTGCTGACTTCTGTTTACAGTTTTTTGCCGCTATAAGTAAAAATGCTAGTGAAGTATCGAAGCTTGTCTCACATATTTATTTGTAGATATACCCTATATATATATACTTGGTTCGAGGATCCTATTCTTTTTTCTCTCTCTTTTCACACCCATTTCTGGCTACGTTCCGATATTCACTGCTAGTACTGAAAATCTATGATGTACACTGACCGGCAGGAATGCCTGGACATTTTGATATGTATATGACACATATATATATATATATGTATTTTGCCAACTTCTCTAAAAAACCTAGCCGTTCGGAATCGGCGTTAAACTGTAAGGTCCCATATACAATGTGTATAATCCACGTGCGCAACACATTTATGAAGAGAAGTCACCACGCTCGGACACGAGTAATAGGATAGAGGAGGATATGTATTATGTCTAGGCATTCCTGCCGGTAAGTGTACGTGACATAAACTACAGATTGTCACTACTGGCAGTGAACATCGGAACGCATCCCCTTACACAATGTTAGGCAATAGTAAAAATGCCATTGCACGTAACAAAGTTTTAGTCATAATCGTAAGGCCGTAAGAAAATAGACCAATCACAGTCGATTATTCTCCTTGCGCTCGAAGAATAATCGAGTGCGATTGGTCTATTTTCTTACGGCCTTACAATTATGACTAAAACTTTGTTACGTGCAATGGTCTTAATAGCGATAGCGATAGACAATATTTTTAACTTATCGGAACCCGTGTATCAATACTGTAGTTTTGTCGGCAATTTTATCGTTATCGCTATCGCCTAGCGTTGTGTAAGGGGTTTTATCTGCATTTATAGCACGGTTATGCGGTAAATTTCAAGATTATATCTACATGGATTGTTTATGTATTGTTTACATTATGTTTACACGAACTTTTTTTCATGCGGACAATATAATTAATGTAAATTATTATAAATTGAATGATTGATTGATTAATTGATAAATTTCTTTAAACTGTATTTTTGTAAACAGGCCTACAAAAATAAGAAGTAGTTCTAGATTAGATTAGATGCATTTCAGTTATAATTTATTTATTAACCGGTTAACTGGTGGACCCGAAATCAACGTTTTGTTCCAACTGATGAGAGCGAATAATTTCGTATCAAATTTTTTTTGTATCAAGTTTAATGCAAATCCGTTGAAAATTGGCAGAGCTATTCAAGGTGTTCATGTATGAGTCATTACCAGTGAACTAGTTAATATTTTTACAGTATTATTTGCTTCTTTTCTAATCTTTTTTTATAGTGTTACTCTTTTCTACATTTACTATTTTTTTTTATATTTTATTATTGTTTCTACAAACATTCCAAAATTGTCCTAGATAGGGACTGAGTCCAAACTTTTAAGTGGCCGTTATTTAATTTACAATGAAAAATTCGCAACTTTTTTTATTTTTGAGCGTTACTCTTATTTTTCATTATATTACGTACAAGAGGCAACGTAATATTTTTAAATAACCTTTTTGAATGAGTAAAAAACTGTCTCCTTGATTAAAATTTATTCAGGCGACGATGCACTTAACAACAGATGTTAGTAGTTTGACCTGAGTCGCAGGTATGTTCGCTACGACAAGAACTACGAAACAGTTCAACATGTTTTCGGGAGAAATTTAGAAACTTTTTTTCTTTAAAAGGGACATGATAGATGTGAAATGCATAAAAAGAAATAAAGGTCTAAACAGGTAAAATTAGGTCTATAGATCAAACGGGATGCTAGACGTTATTTATTAGAAAACCATTTAAAGGAAAAATTAAAAAAAAATTTCAAGAATATTAGGAGTTTTATGATAGCGATTGTGGCACGTAACAATTACAGTGAAATTAAATTGTGCTAAGAGAGATTGGCTAAATTTTTTTTCTTAAATTTTTACATAAAAATAAAATTAATTAAATTTTTCACACGCAAATCCTTATTCTATTACATACATATATATATATAAAGAGAAAATTCGCTGGAAATTTTTTCTTTAATTGTTCTGAATTAGTAAACAAACGTATAAGTCTGTAATTGTTGTTAAAAGTTGAATTATATGGTTGTTTAGGATCTATGTGTGTATATATATATATATATATCTAGATCTAGCTTTTTTTATATTTATTAATCCATGTATCAAAGAGTCTCGGTTTTATCTAAATTTATACTATCGAGAGATGATATACGAAAGGATTAATTTATTTCGACCGCGAAGGAACAATATGCGATCGCGTTTTTGTGATGATTCAACATGAGGTGAGGAGTCTTGTTCTGCTAATGCAGCGAAAAGTGATATGGCATTCCTTTCACACGTATTAAGTTTAATATACGCTCATGCGGATAATCATCAGAATCGAAGACACGGGGAAATTCAGCCGACAATCTAAATAAATTGTTGATTGAAGAGGGCCGAAATTTGAAGATTGAAAATCGTTCCAATAAAATTCAAGCATTGAAAATTTTAGAGAGACGTAAGAGAGAAGACGTAGAGAGAATTGGTCTTGAGTTAATTTGTTAGTTTTTTTTTTAACTAACAATAAATAAACTTTTCTCACTGTTATGACACTTTGTCCGATAAATTTAAAGAATAAAAGTGAGAATAAAAGGCACTAAAGAATTAAAGAAGAGAATTAAATCTCTCGGCGAGAATCCTTGAGATAAAAAAGTACCGTGTGTGTTTCTTTTTTTTCCAAGAGAATAAAATAAATATTACTGGTTAAAACAGTTTCTGTATCCACTTCTAAAATGAAAAAAATAAAAACGAAAACTAGTGATCAACAGACAATGGGTCTATTGGAATGTATGGCGTTATGTAAGAAGAAGTGTGTTTATTGCCTGGGAAAAAACGAAAGAAAACATTTGAAGCTTTAAGCCCCTTGCACAATAGGCGATAGCGATAACGACAGCGACAAAGTTGCCGACAAAGCTTTGTCGGCACCTTTGTCGGTATCGCTATCGCTATCGCCTATTGTGCAAGGGGCTTAAGATTTTGAGATGAAAGATTGCGACTTGCGACCCGCACACACATTCGCGCGCGCGTGCGTACACTCCCATACTGCACACGAGTTGTTGGTCTATCCTTGTTGAGTCTCTATAATAGGTTAGGGTTCAGAGTGTTAGAATTGTGGCAAAAGAGATACTGCGGAATGTAAACGTTATTACAAAAAAGGTTATCTGTTATTAAAAACTTCATCTGCAAACAAGGTTACTAACTTATTTAAAAATTTACAAAGAAAAATAGGGATACGCGGACATGAAAGTTTTATACTCATATATTTGGATATTCGATGTGACGCAAAATTATTTTATTTTCTAAGTAGAGACTGATATTCCGGTATACCTATTTTCCTAGTTATTGTTTGAAATAAATCGCGAACATTTAGATAATAAGTGAAGTATTCGAATTTCTAAGAATTTGTAATATTGATATACGAGTATTAATATTTTATATCTGTTCTATAAATTGCAGAATACATCTTCTTCAAAATGGATCCTAATAACAGGCCCCTTAATGGGAAAGGACGCGGTTCTTTCTTGTTGGAGATGATGAAACAGAAAGCACAAAACGAACGTGCTCAAACAATGTCCCATTCTGTAGAAACACCTAGCGTTTCGTCGACTGATCAAACTATAAGATCGATTGAACAGCCATCAAGATCGTCTGAAGGATATTCATCGATAGCCAGCTCAAGTAGCAGTGGAGGTCGCGGACGTGCGCAATTAGTTAGTTTGTTAAAATCAATGAGTAGCAGTGAATCAGATTCCAGAGAACCCACTTCATTAGCAATGGGTCACGGTCGAGGCTCTCTCTCGGGTTTAATAAAGAAACTTGGGTGAGTGGCAAGTTTTCTAATCTCTGAATTATACATTGTGAATGCATGTTTACAAAGCACATGTTCAACGTTCTTTTCAATTCCAGCAAACCAAGTACATCTGCGCAAGAAAGTATTGAAAAGGATTCTGCGGGAGTTTTAACCAAATTGGCTGACATTTCCGTCTATGATAATCCGCCCGTATCCGACGTACAGTCTTCTGAGGATATCGCACCGATATGCCGACAAGGCAAAAGTGGAACGAAGTAATTCATGGTTTATAATTTTAAGAACACACGTCCTTTTCTCGACCTACTTAGATAATTTTTTTTCGGCAAATTTGGATTATATAGGTTACACAATGTAGGTAATTAAAAAAAAAAATAGTGACATGATTTCTATTTGAGTTGTTTGTTTTAATAGCATGAAAATATAAACGCATGCCGTTATCACGGATGTCGAGAGAGGGATGGATATATTATTATAATTTAATATAACAGTAATTAATAACGCCTATTTTGCTTTGCAGAGTAGAAACATTTGCCAATTATATAGATCTGAAAATAGAACCTGGAAAAGGTCTATTTCAGTACGAAGTTAAATTTTCGCCAGAAATAGATTCAGTAGGTTTACGCCGCAAACTACTTAATCAACATTCCGCCACTTTAGGACGAACAAAAACATTTGATGGAGCGGCGCTTTATTTACCAATAAAATTGTCACAGGAAGTGAGTTTAAGGGTTTAAGCTATGATAAAATTAAAACTATTAATATAAAATGTGCACATTGATGAATAATTATCACATTTTCAGGTTTCTCGTTATAAATCGGAACATCCAATGGATGGTTCACAAATAACTCTTACGATCATTTATAAGAAGAAACAGTCGATGAGTGAAAATATTCAATTTTTCAATGTTTTGTTCAATCGTATCATGCGTGCACTTAGTTTAGTTCGTATTGGTCGACAAAATTTTAATCCAAAGTGCGCGCACGTTCTGCCTCAACATCGATTAGAAGTATGGCCTGGTTACGTGACTGCCGTAAATGAGTACGAAGGTGGTTTAAAATTGTGTTTAGATGCCAAACATCGAGTGATGCGGACGGAAACTGTACGAGATTTAATGTAAGACAATAACGATTGAATAATTTACAATTGACCAAATTTATTTTGTATAATTACCTTGCAGAAAAGAGATTTATCACAAAGCACAATATAATTATAAAGATGCTGTGATAAATGAGATAGTTGGTACAAGTGTATTGACGCGATATAATAATAAGACATACCGTATAGATGACATCGAGTGGGATAAGACACCAAGATATGTGTTTTCTAAAGGTGATGAAAAAATGTCTTTGATCGATTATTACAAGTCGCATTGGAATATCGAGATTCAAGATCAACAGCAACCACTTTTAGTACATCGCAGTAAAATTAGAACAGCAACTGGCGAGGTTCGTGGTTTCATGATATTCATGCATATTACTATTGTTACGATACTGTTGACTATGTCACTTGAAATTCGTTATTGCCATCAAAAAAATCGTTTGAATACAATAGAAGGAGGAAAGAGTAATTCTTCTGGTGCCGGAATTGAGCTATGCAGCAGGTCTTACTGATAATATTCGTAATAATTATAATATGATGAAAGACTTGAGCACAGTTACGAAAATGTCACCTGACCAACGTCGAGAAGTGATTAGGCGATTTGTAGAAGAGGTAGAAAAGAATGAAGTGACTCGGGAATTATTATCAGAATGGGGTTTGCGTATGAACAGTGATATAGTTCAATTTACTGCAAGATGTCTCGATCCTGAAGAAATACGTTTCGGGAATCTCAAGATACATAAGTCACCTGACAGACCTGCAGATTGGAGCAGTACTGCAGTAAAAAATCCCATGTTACGCACTGTAAGTATATTGAATAATAATTATCTGAGAATTGACAAACCAATACGTGGTGAATGATCTTGTACAAATATTTGTTACATTACATGTCTCTTTTGCGTTTTAGCCTAATTTGACCAGATGGCATATTGTATACTGTACAAGGGATGAAAATTGTGTAACAGATTTCTTAAAACTTCTGCAACAAGTTTCAAGATCGATCAAAATGCAAATTCAAGAGCCACGAAGAGTCTCTCTAAAGGATGACAGAACCGAGACTTATCTGCGAGAAATTCAAAATAGCATCAGCAATGATATCGAATTAGTAGTCGTCGTATTTCCGACCAATCGCACTGATCGCTATTCTGCAGTAAAAAAGTGAGACAATTTTCTTCCTTTACTTTTTGTGATTTAATGATTTTATTTGTCTTTGCACATGAATATACTGTATAACAATATATTGTACAAGTATATCAATCAATAAGCATCGAGTGTGTCTTGGACATATCAAGCATTATACGTTTTGGAAATTTAATCGTTCATATAACAATAACTGAAGATAAAATCTGGAAAAGTATTTTTTTTTTTTTTTTTTACTATTCTATTACATTTACAGACTGTGCTGTGTACAAAAAGCTATACCATCACAAGTCATCATCGCGAAAACGATTTCTAAGCCTCCTAAATTGAAAAGTGTCACAGAAAAGATAGCACTTCAAATCAATTGTAAACTAGGAGGAGCACTTTGGACCGTATCTATGCCGTTGGTAAATAGAAAATTTATACTTTATTATATACTTTTATTTATTGTATATATTTATTTTCTTCGTTCAACAAATTCTTTTATTGCATGCATAACAGAAAAACAGCATGATTTGTGGTATAGACGTTTATCACGCCGGTACAGGAGGAGGTGCAAGAAAAAGCGTAGCAGGATTTATCGCCTCTTTAGATGCTCAATTGACCAAATGGCATAGTAGAATTTGTATGCAGGCCTCTAAGCAAGAATTGGTGGATATGTTACAAGTTTGCCTTACTTCAGCCATTAATGCATATCACAAGGTAATTAATGCATTTATGCAGCTTTCAAAAAACGTCTTTTCATTGATTCATGATAATAATGTTATGTTGTCAGTATAATGGATGTAATCCAGACCGTATAATTATATATCGTGACGGAGTTGGTGATGGAGATCTGGACTATGTCGAAAACTATGAAGTAAAGCAACTATTGGCAACATTTAATCGCATTGCGCCAAATTACAAGCCACAACTCAGTGTAATCGTCGTTCAAAAACGTATCAATACGCGGCTATTCATCAGACAGAAAGCAGTAAGTATTGCGCTAGAATTAATATGATAAGATTAGCAAATATATTGCGTTTAATGATATAATTTTAATTGACAATTGAAAATGCTTTTAATTCGCAGAGAGGGGGAGGTTTTTTAGACAATCCTGCACCAGGAACCGTTGTTGATTCTTGCATAACGAGGCGAAATTATTACGACTTCTTCCTCGTGCCACAAAATGTGCGACAGGGTACAGTAACTCCCACTCATTACGTCGTTATTCATGATTCGTCCAACATTGAAACGGACCACATGCAACGACTGACGTATAAACTTTGCCACTTATATTACAATTGGCCCGGTACGATTCGTGTACCCGCTCCTTGTCAATATGCACACAAACTTGTGTACCTGGTTGGTCAAAATCTTCTAGCTGAACCACACCAAGCCCTTTCAGATATTTTATTTTATTTGTAACTTCCACCATTATTTAATGTTATTTTGTCTCACAATTTGTCTTCTTTTCTTTTTTTTTTTTTTTTTTTTTTTAATGAACAAATCTCTTTATCGTTAGATAAATCAAATCGAACATTTCGGAAAAATCACTGAATATCACAAGAATGATTATATGATTCGATTGTGCTTCTGCAGAAGTCGAAGCAAATCGCTCAATGATGAATGCCAATCTTGCAAAACTATGTGTACTTGTACTTACTGTACGTATATGTATATATACGTGTGAGTTAAAATAGTCCAAAGATTATATAGAGAAAGAGAAATATATATGAGAGACTACTACCAAGTATACTATGTGATAAAGCACTTGGAATATGTCTCTTCCATACTTAATTTATGTTATGTAGTTGACACTTGCATTTATATTTACCTAGAAAGTAACAGTTGCTGTAGCACTCGGGTAAATATCAATGCAAGTTTGCTATTCTCAAATAGAATTTCATCTTGTTAACTGTATATACAGCTAAGATCTCTTTTTTGTTGCAAGAAGACTAACAATTGTGTTTCATGTATTTGAGATTATTTTGACTTTTGCATTAATTACGTAGCATTAAGAAGAGTTGGAAAGGCTTCACCTTAATTTTTGTATTATCAAAATGGTTTTAGCAAAATCTGACAAAATTATTCAATAGGTAGTATTACAAAACATAAATTGTCAAAAAGAATAGCCTGCGCAAAAGAGCGATTGGTTTACTATTTTAGTATTATATTTTCCGTATTTATTTTGTTTTCTTTTTTGATTTATCTTCAGGCAATAAAACATGTATGATTTCATGATGATAGTAAATTATTACTATTATTAAATGTTATTTTATAATCTAGATAAATGTTGTGTGTCTTTAATATAATTTTCAAAATTTATGTTTGCACAGTTGAACATATTCCGATAAAAGAAAGATCTAACAAGCTATTATATATTTTAGGAATCTTGTGCATTATTACACTTAATAGGTGCAAAAATATTTTTTACAACATGAAAATGACCTTCAGTATTATTCAGTATTGCATTTTATTTAATCATATTCAATAATAATTCAATTATAATTATAATGTATTATTATATTATTTTTTTTTTAAATATTTGTACGTAGGGCGCTAGACTATATATAAATACACGCACATACAAAAAATTATCGGTTAAGAAGATAATGCGAGTGTAATTATGTCCTAAATATACCTTATATATACTTTTTAGTAAAAAAAAAATATTTTGTAGAATACTTTACAAAATTTTTCTACGAAACTATTGTCTGCGGTCAACTGTTATGATGTAATAATATTGACAAATGTTATACGTTATACATCTAAAGAAAAAACTGGTGTTCATATTTTCGAAATAACTGATCTATATACTATTCCTTTATTAGCCTATTTAATGGCTTTGGTACATTTTCTAAACAACGTTTTTTATTTGGTTTAGCATGAATTTTTCAATCATCATTCTCAACTTTCTTTTATCTACTGCTGCTAGTTTCTTAAACGAAAAATGTCCTTGTTTAACTACATCTGTTTTTTTATTTTTTTTTATTTTTATAATATTATGACTGTAGGGTGTACTTCACCCAAAATTATATTCCACGTGAGGTGTTTTTACACTGCAACATTATGTCTAAATTTTCATTGTTCTCTTTGATGATTTACAATTGAATAAATGTTGATAATCTATAGCTTTTAGATAAAAATAAGTGCAAAAGTTGTTCTTTAATCGTATAAACCAATTTGTGCGTAGTAAATTTCTAAAAGTTGGGGCATATTTTACACCTCATGTGAGTAACGCGCAGAACTTAAGCTTCAAGTCAAACAATACAAAAACTAGAGGAAAATTATTTTTTATTGCAGCACACATTTAGTCATAGTATACGGCCAACATTGTTCCATTGAAAATGACAGAATGAATGATATAATTTTTCACAGTTTGACACACGTTGGAGAGAAAATATTTAATTTTAATTAATTTTATTATTACAATAAGTACAACGAGCTTAAAAAAAGATGGCGCATGTGATTACGTTATTGTTTAACTTGCCATATACATGTAGTATTCGCATATAAAATATAAGTTTGTAATTAATCCATTCCGACACGTTTTTAAAGCTCTAGCAAACCTTGGCCTGAAAAGATTTAAACGAAAATGAACCAAATAAAATTTCCTACATTCCACCGAGGGAAGACTTTCACCCATGCACTTCAAGCTTTCTTGCATTACATCGCTTGTTTGAAGGGTTTACAATGATAATCTTTGCGAGATTTGGCTTTTCTGCACGTTTACTCATTGATCGTCTCACACACGCACGTTAATTGAAATCGGCTAAACTACAACTGGATTCTCTCTCTCCTTCCCGAGATAGAGCGGAGGAAATCTCTGCAAACTTTAACAGTTTAACAAATTTATGCTACTTTTGCAAACGTTACGACCGTTGTCTCTCAACCAATATACTAATTCCCCGAAAAAATGAAATTTTCACATACCAACGAATTGAACATTTTCAGACACGTAAAACGTATCGAATGCAATACATAAATGTCTGCTCATTTATATTATCGGATAACAGCCTTTGTTTACAAATTCATCCACGATCCGATCGTTCCACCTCGGGAAGGATCGAAAGAGCAACACACTGAATGGAATTCCGCGGGGGGAAAATATACCGCGCTAATCACTTCACTCATCCCACGTGATTAGCGGGTCGCGCGCGCGGTTTCCGGCGACGTATCGCTCGATCTTGGTAATCGGTTCCGACGCGCCTCGACGATACGTCCGATCATCTTCGCGGCGATGCCAAGTCCTCGGGGGGGAGATGCTCGCACGCGCGTCGACTCCTGGAGATCGGCTCAGCGCAAGGTTCTTCCGCATTGCGGCGTCCCGCGCGTCCGTCCGTCCGTTGACACGATGGTTACGCCACTGCGCCACGCCGTCGCCGCGCGCGTGTGTGTACGTAAAAAACACGACGCACTGCGCACGTACATACAAGTACACACACACACACACACACACACACACGTGCGCGCTGGCGCTGGCCGCTGGCTCGTATTTACAATCGCGTATCGCGTATATCGGAGCGCCGCGTCGCTGCCATTCGCGCTGGCGCGTGCGCGCGCGCGCGCGCGCTCGGCGCCTGCGTACATCTTGTTTACAACTGCGGAGCTCCGCGTACACATGACCTTTACAAGATAGACACGATCGTCTGTTCGGTTGGCTAGGCGTGAACCCGCGCGCGGCCCGCGTGACGGAGAGAGAAAGAGAAAGGAGGATAGAGCGAGAGAGAGAGAGAGGAAGGAGGAGAGGTGTCGCGCGCGCGAGTGTGTGTTGTGTGTCGTGGCGAGAGAGTCCTATCGCCTTTTGCTGGAATTACATCCGGCGGCCACGTATCCGGCGATTCGCACGGGGCCACGGATTTCAACGCGCGTTGCAAAAAAAAAAAAAGACCGAATCGAAAGTTGCGTCGCGGTCGCGTCCGCGTCGCCACGCGTTGCGTTATTAACGTTGCGTCGCGCGCGGCCCGTCGCGAGTAGTGCCGAGTGGAGTGGAGCCGTGCCGACGATCGACGGTCAACGACGACGGCGACGGCGAACGTCGCTCGGTCGCTTCGCGCGCGCGATCGCGACCACGGTCGCGCGAGTGACGAGACGCGGGCTAGGTGTATATGTGTGAGCTGATATTGTGTCGCGCGCGATCCCGAATACTCTGGTAAGTACGGGCGAGGGTCTGCCACGCGCGCGCGCGCCTGACGACGATTTCGACGTGGTTTTGAGGAAGCTCCGAGTTCCGTCGTCTCCGTCGGATCGTGACCCCACCGGGGGCGGACGGACGTGATATATTTTCGAGCACGGCCGATAGTGCGTCGTTAAATCCGGGGTCTTGAGTCCCGGGTATCGTTTCCTCCTCTTCCCGCGCGGTGGAGGGAAGGAGAGGAAGCGGAGCGGAAGAGGAGCCACGAGGAGCAGCTGCGGAGAAGAAGCGCGAAGAGCGTGGAAGTGTGGAAGTCAGTCGCGACGGGGACGGAACGCGCTCGCGCGCGCGACGCGGAGGGAAGAAAGGGGGAGGGGAAGAGAGAGAGGAAAAGGAACCGCGCGGCGCGTTTCCCCCCGCATCGACCTGGAATGCCGCCGTCGCCACGGTTGTTTTGACGTCGGCCGCCGCTATTGCGCATGAAAAAAAAATCGCGTTGCCCTTGGCAGTAGCCTATTTATCGAGAGAGCGCGGCCGCCGTTGCCGATAAGGCGAAAATTTCGGCCAGCCGCCCACCTGCGAGAGTGCGAGGCCCGTCGCCAGTCGCCTCCCGTCTCCGCGGCTCCCGCCCGTCCGTCCGCGCGGACGTACGTACGTCGCGTCGGTCGGTTGCGTTTCCTCGCCGCGCCGTAACACGTTTTCCACGAAAGAGAAGCTCGAGAGAGGGAGAGAGAGAGAGAGAGAGAACGCGCCGCCTTGAGTGTCCCTCTCCCTCCCCTTGCGCCTTTCTCCCTCGCGCTGCCTGCGTCGTGTCGTGAATCGTGTGTGCGTTGCGTGCCCAGCGTGCCGCGCGCGCTATTGCCCGCGTATCGCGCTCTCCGTCTGTCTGTCTGGCTGGCCGACTGTCCGACAATCCGACCGACCGTCCGCCCGTCTGTCTGCCTCTGTCCCTGTGCGCGTGCGTGACCGTCTGTGTTTGTTCCGTGCGCGCGTATGAGAGTGCCCGCCGCGCGCCCCCGTGTGTATACACGTCACCGTCGGTCGGGGACCACGCAGTAAATTGTGTTATTCGGAGAGACAAACAGGTGCAGGAGGAGGGCCTCGTACGCTCGCTCGCTCATAACGGCCGCACCTCGTGGCGTTCGCGCTGAACGCTCGTGTGTCTCTCGCCGACGTTCTCCGTCGTCGTCGCCGTCTCCCTTCCCCGTTCCGTCGCGGACGCGCGCGAATTACCTCTCGCGCGAGGAATGCGCGAGCGGCGGTGGCACGTCTGAGCCATTTGGAGCCGTCGGACGGTGCGCGCGGGACGGCTCGACGGCTCCGCTCGGCGCGCCCGCGAGACCCGAGACCCGTGAGACGCGGCCCGAGATCGGTGGCGGGCGAAATTAGACGAAACCGCGTGACAGGTGGATTCGAGGCGTGCCGAGACGCATAGAAAAAGAGAGCGAGGGAGAGAGTGATAGCTGAGATAGAAAGGGTAAGAAAGGGAAAGAGACAGGGACGGAGCGAAGGAGGGAGCGAGGCGAGAGTGAGAGAGTGCCGTCGCGACATCTCGGAGTCATCGGGCGCGTTCGGCGTTCGGCGCGATCGCGGAATCTCCCCTACTTGGGTTTCGACGCCGAGGAAGGAAGAGCCGAGCGCGGGACGAGGGGCGGAAAAGAGCTAGGGTGATTGTGAGATTGGGACCGTTTTGTGTCGCCCGTAGTCGCCGTCCGTTCCGTCCGCTCCGTCTCGTGGTGGCCGTGGCGCGCCATTGTTATTGTTGTCGTTACTCCTAACCTACAAGAAGGTGGACGTCCGCCGTCGCCGCCGCGAGGGGTAGAGAGAGAGAGAAAGCGACGCGAGACGCGACGCAAGCACGCCCTCGGATCTCGGGGCTCGGGGCCGCGCGGAGAATCGCTCGCTCGGTCGCTCGCGGCGGAGCGCATTGCACATGCGAGCACCCGGCCGCGGTGCTGCTGTTGCTCGCGCGCGCACCTCGCCGTG